CTTGGTCCTGCTGCAGCACAGCGTGTCTCCTTTGGGTCCCCACACCTTCGGCTGCTGCTGCTGCTGCTGCGGCTGTTGCTGCTGCTGCTGCTGTTGCTGCCTCACCGCCGGCAGAAGGTCGCCACAACTCAGGGGAGACACAAGGCCGTGATGGCCGCACAGAGGCAGGCATAAGCCCAGCAGCAGCAGCAGCAGCAGCAGCAGCAGCAGTTGCAGATGGAGGGGTGAAGGGTGCGTATAGCGATGAGCCGTCTGCTGCTGCTGATTGAGCGCTGCTGCCACCACTGCTGCTGCCGTTGCTGCTGTTGTTGATGCTGTTGCTGTTGCTGCTCCCAGCCCTTCGTGTGCCGTTGGAGCCACTGGTGCTGCAAGCAGCAGCAGCAGCAGCAGCAGCAGCAGCTCCTCTGCCTTCTGCTGCAGCAACCGGCCGCTCGGGGGCTGGAGCAACACGGTGGAGTTGGTGGCGGCTCATTAGGGGGACGCCTCGCACGACACGGGCCCCGAAGGGAGTGGTTTGTATGAGAAGGCCTGCAGCAGCAGCAGCAGCAAAGGCAGCAGCAGCAACAGCAATAGCAGCAAAAACAGCAGCAGCAACAGCAACAGCAGCAACAGCAACAGCAACAGCAGCAGCAAAAGAAGAAGAGATTCAGAGGAGGAGCTATATGCATTCTTCTGGGCAGCAAACCCGCATAGGAGAACGAAGGGAAAGGAACCACGATGGGGAGACAAGAAGAGACAAAGTAAGGCAAGAAAGAGAGAGACAAAAGGAGACACCAGAGACAGACAAAAGGAGACCATTGAGACGAATGAAGACAAATGGAGACAGCGTGAGACACAAGGAGACAAAAGGAGACAAAAGAGACAGGAAACGACGGGGCGGTACTACAAAAGGAGACAAGGAGAAGCAGACCCAGAAAGGGAGAAAACAGAGACAGAGACAGCAGGAGACAGAAAGAAACAAAAGGAGACAAACGCAGACAGAAGGAGACAGCTGGCAGCACAACGCAGACAACAGGGACAAAAGGAGACAGATAGAGATAGATGGAGCCGGACAAAGACAGAGGGCGACAGCAAAGAGGAAGAAGGAGACAGACAAAGACAAGAGAGATAAAAGAGACAGACAGACAAACGGAGACAGAGAAGGGGAAGAAGGAGACAGACAAAGAAGGAGACAGAAAAGAGGCAGAAATACAGACGGAGACAGAAACGGTAAAGAAAGAAACAAAAGGAGACAGGAAAAGACAGCGGAGAGACCGAAGGAGAAGGAAGAGAGACATAAGAGAGACAGACGGAGACAGCAGAGAGACAGACGGAGACAGCAGAGAGACAGAAGGAGACAAAAGGAGACAGAGAGAGGAGCCAGGAGACAGCAGAGAGACAGAAGGAGACAGAGAGAGGAGACAGAGAGAGGAGACAGGAGACAGCATAACGCACCCGTCTGTGTGTCATCACAACCAACAGGAAGGCCCCCAAAGGCGAGACACTCCGCGGCCATGGAGGGGGCAGAGACAACCACATCCATCAGCCGCCCCCCTGAGCTCTCAGCAGCAGCAAAGCAGCAGCAGCTGCTGCAGCAGCTTGCATGCGAACCAGCACAAGAAAAACCCACATCTGGTGCAGCAGCAACATCTCCTGCTGCTGCTGCTGCTGCTGCTGTTGTTTTTGTAGTTGATGATGCAGGTCCTGCATCTGCTGCTTTCGTTGCTTCATGTGCACCCGCTACTGCATCTGCTGAATCTGCAGCAGCTGCTGCTGCTGCTGCATCTGCTTCAGCAGCTGCTATATCTGTTGCTGCTGCTGCATCTGCTGCAGCAGCTCCTGCATCTGCTGCAGAAGCTCCTGCATCTGCTGCAGCAGTTGCTGCATCTGCTGCAGCAGCTCCTGCATCTGCTGCAGCAGCTCCCGCATCTGCTGCAGCAGCTGCTGCATCCCCTGAAGCAGCTGCTGCATCTGCTGCAGCAGTCGCTGCATCTGCTGCAGCAGCAGTTGTATCTGCTGCATCTGCTGCAGCAATTGAATCGGTGTCTTCGGTGTCTTCTTGTTGTCTCAGAAACTGCAGCAGAGCAGCAGAGAGAAAGGCGAGGATGCGGGGTACCAGCTCTCGCTCCTTTTCACCTGCCACTGCAGCAGCAGCACGAGCAGCAGGAGCAGCAGCTGCTGCTGTATCTGCTGCAGGCGCTGCTGCTCCTTCATCCGAAGCAGCAACAGCAGCAGCAGCAGCATCTTTCAGGGCAAGAAAGCAGCTGCTGCAAGGGGGCCCCGTGCTGCTGCGCTCGCCGCAGCGGGGGCACTCCATCCTTTCTAATAGATAACGCAGGAGGGCCCCCAAAGCCTTCTTGGGGGCCCCCAAGGAGCAGCGGGGGGGCCCCTCCCTGCAGCAGACTGCAGCAGCAGAAGCCTCGACCAGCTGCAGACACCTGCGGTAGCAACCGCTAACCGCTGTCACAGCAGCAGCAAACGAAGCGTCTCCTGCATCAGCAGCATCTGCTGCAGCAGCACCTGCTGCAGCAGCAGCAGCAGATAGAGGCACGTCCCGGGGGCTTGGTGGGGGCAGCTGCAGCTCCACTACCAGCGGGGTAGTTTGGTTGGCGAGGAAGCAGCGCAGCCCCGCAACAACAGCAGCAGCAGCAGCAGCAGCAGCAACAGGAGGTTGCTGCAGCGCGAGGGTTATGGTGTTGAGACTGTGAGGGAGTTTGCTGCTGCTGTGCTGCAGCAGAACGGAGACAGAAGGATGAGCAGCAGACACACCCTGCTGCAGATACACCCGATGCAGTTTATCCTTTTGTAAGGGGGGGCCTCCCACTGGGGGCAGCAGCACGGCGAGCAGGTGGCAGCTACCACCTCTTGCTGCTCCTTCAGCTGCTGCTGCTGCTGCTGCTGCTGCTGTTGCGGGTGCTGCTGCTGGACGTTCAACAGGCAGAGAGTGCAGCTGCTGCGGCATCAGACACATCGCCTCAAACCAACTCAGACGACGAGCAGCAGCAGCAAAGGGGCCCCGCTGCAGCAGCTGCTGCTGCAGGAGAGTCGAGTCTGTAGTGGCCCCCAACGTCTCCTTGCCTGCAGCATCACATCGGCAACTCGCCCTGCTGCTGCTGCTGCTGTTGCTGCTGCTGCTGCAGGAGATGCAGCAGCAATTGCTGCGAAGACACCCTGGGCATCCATCGCCGAGGAGACGCCGCAAAAACGGACGCTGCAGCAGCAGCTGCTGCTGATGCTGCTGATGCTGCTGATGCTGCTGATGCTGCTGACGCTGCTGCTGCCTTTCTGAGCTATTGGTAGATTCCTGGGCGCGGCAGCTGTATTTGCTGCTGCTGCTTCTCTCAGCAGCACAAGCAGCAGAAGTAGCAGCAGCAGCGCCAGCGGCCGGCATGTCCTCTGGCGTTTCTGCTGCTGCTGCTGCTGCTGCTGTTGCTGCTGCCGCTGCAGGGGTGGGGCCCCACAGCTTGGCTTTGAGGATCGCCTGGTGTACTGAGGGCAGCAGCATTTTGCTTCCGACTGCAGCATGAAGATGCCGCAGCAAGAAGCTAGCAGAGTCTGCTGTTGGTGCTGCAGCAGCAGACAATGTAAGCCGGCCCTGCTGCTGCTGCTGCTGCTGCTGCTGCTGGCGGCGCGGCTGCAGCATCGGGACCTCAAATGCAGCAGCTGCAAACTGCTGATGCTGCTGCTGCAGCAGAAGCTGTAGAGTCTGCAGCAGAACAACACACAAAGGCAACCCGAGAAGCATGCAGCAGCTCAGCAGCAGGTGCAGCAGCAACAGCAGCAGATGCAGCAGCAGATGCAGCAGCAGCTCCATAGGAAGCCCTACCGCCTCCTGCTCCTGCAGCAAGCGTGCTGAAGTTGTCTCTCCTCGCGCTGCAGCAGACGGGGGCGATGGCTGTTGCTGCTGTTGCTGCTGCTGCTGCTGCTGCTGCTGAATCCTTGCATGCAGAGCAGCAGAAGGAGACAGTGAAGGCGCCTCAGCAGCAAAAGCAGCGAGCAGCCGCCGCTGCTCTGCTGCGCAGGCCTTCGGGTTTAAGAAAGGGCCCTTGCTATGCTGCAGCAGCAGCAACAGCCGCGAAACAGCAGCAGCGCATGCAGCAGCAAAC